AACGTACAACAAGAAACCGAACGCATAATTCAACTGAAAGCAGACGATTGGATAATAGCCAAACTACTAAAACCATTTAGTTTAGATGGGACTTGCAAACTATGCTTGTGAACTTCTAACAATCAAGGAGACACTCGGTGTGGTGTGCGGAAGTGTGCAGAATAAAAAGCTCAAACATGAAAGCAACCTCTATTATTCTTACAAAAGTTCATATTATTAAACTAGGCAGAGTATTGATCTGTGCGAATCTCCGCTACAAATCTGCCATACTAACAATCTGAGGAGTAGACTGAAACAATGAATAAGACCAGGACGGAGAGTTGAGGATTCGGGATCTTCTGAATCTCCCGAATTAGCCATTTCGCAGTATTTTGTGGCTTTAGAAACCATACGTTGACGAGTGAAAGTGCACCACTTTGTCTATCATAGAAAGTTTAAGTGCTGAAACCAAAGTACATGTATCAACAAAACTAAAGATGCAAAACCATTGGTTTCATCTAGATCATTTGGATAAACGGGCTCCAGGCTAAAAAAATGCTCTCGAAACTGACCTTCGCGATTTTAATGAAGAACGACAAGAGCTCGGTCCGCTTAGAGACACAGGAATATTTGAGGATCTCCTTTTGTACCCAGAAATTTATCTAAAAAGATTATATTGGGTCTCTGGTGTCTTACCTGATTAAACCAACGGGTGGACGCTACGATATTTGGTGCATAAATGTGCTTTTCTTTTCCATTCCACTTTAGACTGGCGAACTCCTAAAAGCGTGTGATGATCTAAAAAAGAATTACCTCTCGTCTAATTGCTTTAAAAAGCGAAAGTTCGATGAGTGTAATTTGTTTCTGCACCGGAGAATTTCATTCAAGTTGATTTCACTCAACTTACCGCAAACGCGTCTGGACTACCTTTTGTGATGTCAGCGATTGCGACATCTTCTGTAAGTGATGACAACTCAACATCATCCGTCGGGGACAATAGCTGATAAGTCCCATTGGATCTCATATAATCCATCATGAGAAATGAAAAGCCGCACCGCAAATTTCGGCAGGCGCGCCAAACGTGAGGTCACCTTTCAGATAAAATTTCAAATTCCGTTCAGGTCAGTCAGTCAGTCAGTCAGTCAGTCAGTTTGCACAGGACAGGAGATGGCCAC